GGCGGGTCCGCGCGGAGGGGGCCGCAGGGGTTTATGGAGCGCCCTGACGGGGTGCGAATGGTATCACCCAGTCGTGGTCGTGGATTTCCACCGTCCTCCGGGTACCTCTGAGAAAGAGTTTTGTGTCCCGCGTTGCTTCGGACAGGCTGTTCATATCCCTGACTGCCCCTCCGTCCATCTGTGTCCACCTAGGAGCAAAGGAGGCTGCTGGACCTCGGGATTACCGGGCCAGAGGGGCACGTCCTCAGCCGCCCCGAGGAGGTAACGCCTCCCCTCCTGCCCCTCGGCCGCGGCGGCGGTGGCGGGGGGGGCGACGTCCTCTGCCCGTGTTGTGGTGCCCGCAGGTGGAGGCGGAGGCGGTGTACCGTGCCATCACCATCGCCAAGCAAGCCAACTGCCCCCTCTACGTCACCAAGGTCATGAGCAGAGGTGCGGCGGATGTGTTGGCTCAAGCGAAGAGGAAAGGTGAGGCCTGGCTTCGTTTGCGCGCACTCACCGAGCCTATCTAAGTATTCCCGGGAATGTCGTTCTAGCTGCAAGGCTTAAGGGCTCGTTACCACCTAAGGACTCGTTACCGCCCAAGTTCTCGCACGTTTTAGGGGCGCTAAAATGCGGCGTTGGCTTTTCATCACTGTGTGCTGGAGCTAATTGCTCTGAGCCGCAAAGATTTGAGGAGATGTGCTTGAAACTTTGGCACCTGGAGCTCGGTAGACGCCGCCGAGAACAAGGCAGTAATGAACTCGCAGCCGTTTGTCACCAGCCAAGTGAGAAATGGGTCTGGAGCAAGCTCCGGGTGCAGGCGGGGGGGGAGGAGCGGGGAGCGACCCCGCGGGGAGCAAGCCAGAAGGCCCTGAAGGGCCGGGGGGGGGTCTGCAGCCGCCCCCAACCAGGAGACTCCGCTTTCATTTTGGGGAAGGCGTGATGGTTTGCAGACACGAATGTGCTCGGTCTAAGGAGGGAAGAGGTGCTTTCAGATCTCGTCTTGACCGCACCTCCCCGTTGTGCGCGGTGACCCGAGGGATTAGCATGGATGTGAAAAGCTGAAATCCCGGGAACGCCAGAGATGAGCGGAACGGCCGTGCCTCACACGTTCGCGCTCACTAATGCGTGCTCCATAGGCGCGGTGGTGTACGGAGAGCCCATCGCTGCCAGCCTGGGCACTGACGGGTCGCACTACTGGAGCAAGAACTGGGCCAAAGCCGCAGCCTTCGTCACGTCTCCCCCCATCAGCCCGGACCCCAGCACGCCGGAGCACCTCGCCTCCCTCTTGTCCTGGTGAGTTCCATCTCGACACGGATGCCCGCGCGCGCCGCTCGTGCTCTCACCCGCCCCGCGTTGGTTTGAGTGCTGTTGGCAGTCACGGGGGCCGCAGCCCCTCCCCGCCCGACCTGGCCCCCCCACCTTCCATGAGTGGGTTAAACCCCCCGCCCCTCTCCTGGGGGCACCCCCGGTCTTCTCCCATACCTCAGCACTGTAGGTGCCGCA